CCCTTACAGCTTACATTGTGCTGCAGTGAATTCGCCCAAACTGCGAGAAATAAGTGCTTCCTTCCAAGAAGGACAAGCAAATTCATCTTAAAAAGAAAATACACATTTAATGACAGCAGATTTTGCTTAAAAACAGTAACTTTAGAGTTGTTTTTCAACAGTCAAGTTCCTCCAGAAGTCAACTGGATGATTGGCTTCACTCTTGTGATGCTTGTAACGAGGCTGAACAAACAGGTCAAGGCCTGACACCGACACCCACGGACAGAACCCAAGCAGAGGGAACACAGAGCCAAGCAGAAGGTAATAAAAAGGCCAAACTCCACCAAGTTCATACAAATAACCCAAACCAATCTTATTGTGAATTTCATGAAGCAACTTACTCCTTGATTCCAATCCATTCCACAGTTCCTTTCCCTGGACCCCACACACACACAGGACGCTCGGGGGGGCTCTTTCGGAGGGTCCTCCGAGGGCACGGCGAGAAGATCACAGGGTTTATCCGCAGTTCCTGCCTCACTCCAGGCTCAGAACCGACCCCACACAGATCACGGGAGCACCTAGAACAGCCTCGAGACTAAGGTTTTATGGCACAAAGGTACTGGACTTTCTGACTCGTAAAAAACAAGGTTCCAGTCTTGGTTAGCAGGAATCGCCGCTCGCAGCGAAGGGCCCGGGGGACCTCGGGGTCCATCTTTGTGCCACAGTGGTGTTGAGAGGGAACTTTGCCTCCCTCCCTCCCCTAAAACAGAGGCTCAGCACCCTTCTGGCTCCTGTCATTTCCTATTTGCCTTCATCACAGACAGCTCAGTAACACAAGAAGTGACTCTGCGATTTTTTTTTTTGTCTCCCAACACTACACGCAACGCACTAAAATGAAGCAAAGTGTCCCGTCGCTATAATACAAATGAAAGAGGAAAGAGATAAAACTACCCATAAATTAAGAGTACCCTTTAGCAACCTAAAAGAAGCCTCTTCCACACCCACACAGCTGCTTCACGATCATCGCTGCAGCCTGGTCTAGTTCCCATCACCTTTCCCAGCCCAGTGCTGGCACAGAGTTTATGTTTTAGCTCGTCTATTTTACAACACAATAGAGTATTTACAAGCAGCCAAGACAGACACGTTCCTAACCTGGCAGCCAAGCTTTGCAGCACTGCACTGGCCTGCAAGAGAAGTTCCAGATTGGCAAGAGCCATTCAGGAAGTGGCAATTGAATTCATGTGGAAACCTTTCTGAGAAACCTCTCCAGCCTCACACTTCAGACATTTTTCTCAGTGACAGCTCAGCAGAGCACAGAGAGCTGTTTCTTGCTCCTCGTGATTCACCACAGAGTGAATTCCTGTCTACGTGGGGGTGCCAGATTGTGCCCAGGAGGCTCCAGCTGCTCCTGGACAGGCTGAAGGGTCTGTCGTGCTGCGAGTGGGACGTTCCCTGCTCACACACAGGGCAGCAGCCAACCCTCCAGTAAATACTAATGCAAGGAAAGACAGAGCTCCCCACTTGCTGGTGCTGGCTGCCCTCCTCCAGCCATCCCACCTGCCCTCCTGCTCCTCCTGAGCAGCAGCAGTGAGTGTTGTGCTCCCACTGCAGCCGGGAATTCTCGCCCTGTAAGGATCTGGCTGGAGCAAAAGCAGCAGCTCCTCCCCGGGAAAGGCTCAGCCCAACAGCCCTGCCCGGGCTGGGGGCCCTCACAGCACCCCAGAGCTTTCATCTGCCACATCCAGTCTCCACCTGTACACAACCCTGGTGTCTCTGAGCAGGAATCAGTGAGATCTGAGGGAGGATTGAGGCATCCCCAGGGCGAGGATCTTCCAGCAGTGGAGACCTGTGGCCGTGGGCTGGGTAAGGATTTTCCAGCAGTGAGAGCTGGGCTTCACAGGTGATGATCTTTTATTCTTCCTAATCCTGCAGCTGAGTGTGATCAGGAACAGCCACGAGAGCAGCAACCACTAGTGTTATCTGTTTTTTTAAAAAGGAGAAACACGACACCCTCCCCCACCGGTACCACACACCTTCCCACACCCCGGGCACGAGGGGGGAAGGACGGCCAGAGGAATCTTTACACACAGTGCTGGGTACAAGCAACTGCTCCAGTCGGTGCAGAGGGAAGAAGATGAGCCATGGGAAGGGACTGTCTTGTCCGTGGAGCAACACACCCTCCCTGGTTCAGCGATCCGAGTGTTGCAAACCACGGGTACGCACAGGGCCAACCAGTATCAACCACGGGGAAAAGCCAGACCCAATACGAGGTTCCAAGGTTTCCTTCAGACAAAAAAAGAGCTTCCCTTTCCACAGTTGTGATCACTGCCATGGGAAATGTTATCAAAGCAAGGGTGTGCTGGGAAAGGTTTATTTCAGGAGGTCACTGCAATCCGACCCCAAGAGCAAGGGCTGCTGGTCCCAGTCCCTGCTCCAGGAGGAAGCAGCCTGCTTCTCTCAGGTCATGAGTTCACCAAAGTCCAAACATTTAAATGGCTCTTTTGTTGTTTTGTTGTGTTTTTTTTTTTGTTTGTTTTTTTGTTTTTTTTTTTAAATCACAACAGAACTAAGAGGACAAGATCAGATCTCAAATTTGAAAATGGGTTCATTGTCTCCACTGCTCAGATTAGGGATCAACAGCGATGAGCCGTTCTCCTTCCCATTCCCTTCATGAATGGTCCCTGGTATTGGAATCAGCTGATACTGATTTTCCCTGATCCACAATAGGTCCAGACCAGAATAGTTCAACAGGTTTAGAGGTGCGTAGTATTAAAAATATCCTTAAGAAACACTGAGGTAGACTGCACCAGAACAGGACAAAAATAATCCCACCACATCCACCTGCCAAGATTTTACGGATACAAATTTACATGTTCTGCGTGTTTAAGAAAACAAATTGTTTGTTTGTTGCCTTTTTTTTTTTTACAGTGTTTTATATATTAAAATAAATAAAAAAATTCTAATAAGAAAAACTTCTCTTCCTTAGAAAAGTTGTGAGAATATGTCTTCTTTCCTGCAGTGTAATATAGAGCTGCTAAACAGTTACACCTTGTAAAGCAGAAGAAATGTAAACGAGGCCTTTTGAAATCCAGAGGTTCTCACCCGTGCCTGGACTGCGTTTTCCACCCCAAAATGTTTGAGCAGGCTGTGCCCTCCACCTGGTCTGCCCCCAGCAGCCTCCAGCAGCAAAGGGCCCAACAAAGGGCTCGTGGGGGTGCCCAGAGTTCGTCGTTGCCCCTCGAGGCTGCGCCCACCGGGGTGTGGGCTGGGAGAGGGGATTCCCTGCACGTTCCAGGCCCTCTCCCTGGGTTACATCAGCAGCTCTGCCCGGGCTGGAATCCAAACCCACACACCAGCTGAGCCTCCCTGCTCTCCCCGAGACAGGGAGCCTCGTTCTCTCACGGCAGAGAGCACAAAATGGGTCTTGGACTTCTCCAGAAGTGGAGGACTGAGCATCTCTCCCCGCTTTTAAACCACCTCTCTTGTCTGACACGGGCCTGCAACATCCACCATCTTCATCTTCATCATCTACATCTCCTGCTTCCGCCCTTCTCCGGCCGGACTCGCTCCCTCCACACCACGGGACACACGTAGTTCCACAGCTATCCTCTAACACCATTGCTAATCAATCACCTCTGCCTTTATGCAAAACAGCAGCACAACAAAGCACAGTCCAGAAGGCCAAACCGACATCCCGGACGAGCCGAAGCGCCGCATCCCGGCAATTCCACAGCGGGGATCTCGGGGAACACGAGGCTGGATGCAGACAGCAAACCACAGTCACCTCCAGCTCCTGCTGCAGGTGCAGAGCCCAGAGCCTCGTGCTCCCTCCTTCACACAGTGCCCCTTTCTCGGCTGCAGTTCGTGCTCGTCCTCCACGCCGGCTCCGTCCGTGGCACAGAAGGCAAAGCGAGGGACGTGGGGCCGCAGGAGAAGCAGGATCAGGGCTGGGATGTCCTGGTGTCCTTCAGCTCCCAGCACCCAGACTGGGGCTTCGACTGGAGCCAGCTGACTGCGTTGTATAAATCATGGAACTGTTACAAAGCCTTGTCAAGTATGGACTCAACGTGTGCTTCGTCGCTCCTCCTCCTCCTCCTCGGCTAAAAAAAATCAGTTCGTTCTGAAATCTTTGGACCACTTTAAGACCAAACAATCCCCCAAACTCTCCCCTCCCCGAAAGGATCGTGAACAGTCAATAATTTATATGAAGTTAAAATTTAAACTAAAGACATCTTTAAATATGTTACAACAAACAATATATATACTCGACGCTGTAAGGACAGAAAACTCCGGGTCTCAGGTCAGGGGACTCCTACTCCGTTTGGTCTTAAAAGTACCCACAAATCTCAGATTTCCGCTCCTTTGGCTCCCAGCACGTTTTCTTCATTTGTGAATGAGAGAAAACCTACTCCCAAGAGAGTCCTCAGTATAAAAATAATCTGTTTAGGATTCAGTCCCTCCAGGGAAATGGGGAAAAAAGAAGAGAAGCACACACTTCCGAGAGGAGGAAAGCTCCCGTGAGAACACAGAACCACTGAGTGGGAAGGGACCCTTCAGGATCGTCGAGTCCAACTCCTGGCCCTGCACAGGACGCTCCGAGAGTCCCACCATGTGCCTGGAGAGCATTGTCACTTGTGCACGAAACCAGAAGTGTCTCTTTTGCTCTTAAGTTCCACCCCACGTGGAAATAACTGCACACACACACCCACACACACACACCCACACCCACACACACCCACGCACCCCTGGGACTCAACCCCCTCGAGAAAGGATGAAAGCAGCAGCTATTGGTCAATCTGAGGATCTGGCGCGTCCGAACTGAGGTTGCCGAACCCTTCAGCTGTAGTGGAGAGCCCGCCTGGAAGCCTGGAATTCTGCTGGGAACGCTCCTGCCCTGCAGAGGGGCTCGTTCCACGCGGCCCAGGCTGCAGCTCGAGGCGCCGGCGAACTCCGCGCCTTCCGCTGGCAAGCGCGGATGCTTCTCCTTCAGCCCAGCTTCCTGTTGTGAAACCATGGTTACAGAAGAGACAGCAGCCATGGAAACCTCTCCCGTTTGTGTTCACAGATAAGTCCACTGACAACCAGTCAACTTGGCAAAAAAAAAAAAAAATTAATCGTAAGATGATTAAAAATCTGAAGAGTTCGTAGATGTGTGTCATACACTGTGGCAGCAATAACAAGAGTCCTGAGATTTGTGGAGGGGAAGAGGGGGGAGGGGGAAGCAGACACAACCCTGGGGCCAAACAGGAAGTGTTAGGAAGGACTTGACCTGGGCATGGAGAGAATCCGCCCGTTTTTCTTGCCACCATTCATGTGAGTGTAAGGTATGTGCTCCTCATAGTTCCCCTTGAGGGCCATAGAGGGTCCATTGTCCCTCCCCAGCGTTTTGTCCCTCTGGGAGTACGAGGAGGGGTCGAGGGGAATGCTCTCCATGTTCTCGAAGTCCATCTCGTACTCCTCGGTCTCCAGGGGTTTGTTCTCCTCGCTGTAGAAGAAGGAGACCTCGTGGAAGCTGGGGTGCAAGTCCTCCTTCAGCATCTCGATGATCTCGATGAAGGTGGGCCGCATTTTCGGGTTGTACTGCCAGCACATCTGCATCAGGCTGTGCCTGGAGCAGGAGAACCAGAGTCAGGGGCAGGAGGCCACAATTCCCCGTACCAACCAGGTATCCCTGGCACAACACCCACCCTCGGACACCCCCAGCTGTTTGTTCTCTTTGCAGCCTCCACACTGCCTGTAGATCCTGACACTCCTTTTTCTCTATTTCTATCTAGATCAAAAATTCCTTCCAATTCCTTCAATTGTTCTTAACTTGGCTTCTGAAGGGAACAGGGCTGTGGTTCACAGACTCTTTGTGTGTGTGTGTGTGTGTGTGTGCATGCCCTTACAGCCAGGTCACAGCTTTTTCATTAATTCCATTTTAATTTTAACTCAGCCTGAAAGATAACAAAGCTCCTCAAAACTTCAAGGAAAACAGGAGGCTGGGGTAGAGGACAGAGGTCCTGTAAACATCCCACCCAAAAGAAAGGCTGCAGCAAGAGGTCACATGTTATCAGACACTGGGGAGAAAGAACTTACAAATACAAATAGGATTTCAAACTGGAGTTTGTAACTGGCCATGGGACAGATGTCCAGCACAGCAGGCTTTTTTCATAGGGATACTCACAAAACATGTTTATTTTATGACTCTCTAAGTGCTGTTTTGGCCAGAAGCAGATGTGGGAAGAGGTTACCAGAACCAGCGAGTTACCATCTGCGCTCTCTTTTCCAGCCAGGGCTCCTTCCCCTCACCGCTGTTCCAGTGTGACTCCTCACACAGAATCCCAGGATCATTTAGGTTGGAAAAGACCTCTGAGATCATCAAATCCAACCTGTGCCCGATGCCCACCTTGTCCCCCAGCCCAGAGCACTGAGTGCCACGTCCAGTCACTCCTTGGACACCTCCAGGGGTGGGGACTCCAAACCTCCCTGGGCAGCCCCTTCCAATGCCTGACCACGAGGAAATCCCTCCTGATGTCCAACCTGACCCTCCCCTGGCACAGTTTGAGGCCGTTTCCTCTCACCCAACCCCCCCACCCAGCTTCTCCCTCCTGTCAGGGAGTTGCAGAGCCAGAAGGTCCCCCCTGAGCCTCCTTTTCTCCAGGCTGAGCCCCCCCAGCTCCCTCAGCTGCTCCTGCTGCTCCAGCCCCTTCTGTGGGAGGTGCCTCCCCTAAAGTCTGTTTCTCTCCTCCCCAGTCGAGGAGGGGTTAAGAGGAGCCCCAGGTGGGACCATCTTTTTGGCCATGCTCTGGCCCAGCAGTGCAGCCTGGCTGGCTGTCCCTGCCCCAGCACTTACAGCCTCTCCGGGCAGTTGTCCGGCTGATCCAGGTATCCTCCATCCATGACAAACTTTAGCACCTGTTCGTTGGAGAGTCCCTGGTAGGGCTGCTCTGCCAAACTGCTGATTTCCCAAAGGACCACCCCAAACGACCTGGGAAAGAGAGGAGACCCCTGGTGAGAACAAAAACCCCCCAGAGCTCTCCCAGGGACAGAGCACACACTTCCAAAGGACCACATTTTCAACAAGGGGGTTTCAAACCAACGGCTTTTTGTTACAAAGAGTGAGCTCCTGAGCTGGGATCCGTGTGGGACTGCAGAGCACAACTTACCACACGTCGGAATAGGTGGTGAACACCCCATCCTTGAGCGACTCGGGGGCCATCCAGCGCACGGGGAGCAGCCCTTTCCCTCCCTTGCGGTAATAATCCGTCTCGTAGATGTCTCTGGTCATCCCAAAGTCTGGGAAAAGCAATTGGGATGTGTTAAATATCTCCCTCCGTCCCGCTTTCCCCCACCTCCAGATGGATGTTGCCTTCCCTGTTGCACACCCAGTGAGCCCCCTGCTCCCCAGCCCAGCCTACAGTCATCTGGCACCTTGTGATTCGTGTTCAAAATATTTCCCTTTCATTTTTTTCTACAGACTCCTGAGTTAAATTTTTTTAGTGGCAGCTTCTATTCTAAACATTATTTTATTTGTCCTCTGTAAAGAAAAAAAGAGCTCCCTTTGCCTGAAATCCCTTAAATTGTCTTAGCTTTACCTGAAGAGAGCTCTGTAAAACCACCCCACTGTGGGGTTTGGGGTTATTTTTAAATGTTTTATTTATTTATTTATTTTCAAAAGAGTTTGGGTTAAAAACCTTTTTTTGTGGAAGATAAATGACTTTTTAAAGTCACTTGACCTGATGATGGGATTATCAACACTGTGTTTCTTGTACCAAACATTGTCATAATTCTCATGGAAGCAAAGACCAGTGAGAGAAACTCAAGCAGCTTTTGGATAGAGGTTTGGGAATAGGGAATTGTACTTCCTTCTCTTGAATCTGCACTCATGATTTAAGGGCCAGACTGGTTTCATTTCCCTGCCAGTGGAACAGGCTGGTTCATGTCATAGAATCATGGAATGGTTTGGGTTGGAAGGCACCTTAAAGCCCATCCAGTGCCACCCCCTGCCATGGGCAGGGGCACCTTCCACCAGCCCAGGTTGTTCCAAGCCCTGTCCAACCTGGCCTGGGACACTTCCAGGGATCCAGGGGCAGCCACAGCTTCTCTGGGAAAGCTGTGCCAGGGCCTCACCACCCAGAGAAAATCTGCTCTGGTTCTACAAATCCATTCAATTCTGTCACGGAGAAGAAAAAGAGAAAGTGCTGCAATTCCAAAGGTGGCCAGTGAGAATCACCCAAGTTTCTCATGTTGGTTTTGGGCTTCATCTATTTGCCTTCACAACAAATGTGATGCACAGAATCATCTTCTGATCACAGAATCCCAGAACTGATTCACAAAACTGGCCTGGGTTGGAAGGGACCTTAGAAATCATCTCTGATCCTGCACTATTCACCTCCGATTTTCACCGTGAAGTCCTCTGCGACCATGCAGTTCCGAGCTGCCAGATCCCTGTGGACAAACTTCTTGGCATTCAGGTAGGCCATGCCATCTGCAATCTCTGCAGCCATCTGGATCATCTCCCTCAGCGTCGGGGGTGGACGCCCAGGGTTGTTCTACAAGAAATCAGTCGCAGAATCACGGAATGGTTTGGGTCGGAAGGGACCTCAAAGATCATCCAGTTCCACCCTCCTGCTGTGGGCAGGGACACATCCCACTAGCCCTGGTTGCTCCAAGCCCTGTCCAACATGGCCTTGGACACTTCCAGGGATGGGGCAGCCACAGCTTTTCTGGGCAACCTGTGCCAGGGCCTGCCCACCCTCCCAGGGAAGAATTTCTTCCCAATATCCAATCAAATCTCCCCTCTCTCAGCTTAAAGCCATTTATTTAATAAAGAAGTATTAAACCTCAAATCAGGTCACCCTGCTGCAAAACAGAGCCCCCCTCTCCTGTCTTTACCTCAGCTTCAGGTCTCAGAGAGCGGAGGTAACTTTTCAGGTCCCCATGTGCCATCAGCTCCATGACCACCAGAGTGGGCTGTCCCTTTGAGACCACCCCGAGGAGGCGAACCTGGAAAATAAGGGAGAGAAACTCCCTCAAGGCTGTGTCCAAACACACTGGACAAGGCCAGCACCCCCCCTGAAACAGAGCTGAGAAGAGCCTCAAATAAACCCTGTCAGGCTGAGAGGTTCAGGAAGAGCAGATTTGGGCAGATGAGTTCTGCGGAATCCGACAGGGAGAGATCCCAGCTCCGTTTGAGAGCCAGGCTCTGCGAGCACCGAGGAACGCTGAGCTGTGTGCTGGGGATGTGCTAACGAGCCGAGGCACCCAGCACTTACCACATGATGGCAGCTGAAGCCTTTCATCACAGAGGCCTCGTTGAGGAACTCGATGCGCTCGCGCAGACTCGCCGACTCGTTCACCGTCTTCACCGCCACGCGGGTCTCGGGCTCTCCCTTCACAATGTCCTTGGCAATCCCCTCGTACACCATTCCAAAGGAGCCCTGGCCCAGCTCTCGGAGCAGAGTGATCTTGTCCCGTGGAACCTCCCACTCGTCAGGGACGTAAACTGTGGAGCAGAGGGGAACGTTTCTGAACGGAGCAAGTACCTCGTGCAAGTTGCAGAGCCACAGACTCACAGAACAGGCTGAGTTGGAAGAGACCCACAAGGATCATCCAGTCCAACCCTCAGTCCTGCACAGGACACCCCAGGACTCACATCCTGTGCCTGAGAGGATCATCCAAATGCTCCTGGAGCTCTGGCAGCCTTGGGGCTGTGCCCACTGCCCTGGGGAGCCTGGGCAGTGCCCACCGCCTTTTTCTAATATCCAACCCTGACACAACTCCAGGCCATTCCCTGGGTCCTGTCCCTGCTCCCCACAGAGCAGAGCTCAGTCCTGCCCCTCCTCCTCCCCTCCTGAGGAAGCTGGAACTGCAGTGAGGTCCCCCCTCAGTCTCCTCCTCTCCAGCTGAACACACCAAGTGCCCTCAGTGCCCTCACAGTGTCCTCAAGGCCCTTCCCCCACCGCCACAGGACACTCTGGGCAAAACTTCTTAAAAAAGACTAGAAAACCCCATGAGGATAATTCCAATCCCATCCTGCTGAACAAGAAACAATCCCTGCAGGAAGGCCTGGCTGCTCTCACCATCACTGGCGCTGATGTACTCGGGGTTGGAGGATGCATACAGGGGTCCCGTTGGTCCTTCAGTTTGTCTGGAAAAGACACAAGTTCTTCAGCACATCTGCAGCCTTCCACAGGCTCCAGGTGAAGGCAGCTTGATGAACTCCCAAAACATACAGCAAACACAAACTCTCCCCATTTCCAAAGGCACAAAACATTTCCTACGCTAAATTAACGTTCCAATCATTACGGAAATCAGAAAATGGACAAAAACTGACTCCCAGCAAATCAGCAAAGCTTTTGGATGTAAGTTTTGGTTGGTCTGGCGAAAGCAAGATGAAATTGCACTCACCTCTTTTTCACAAGCACGTAAGCAGCTCCAACAATTCCAGCAATTATTATGGCAAAAATAATGGGAACGATTATAACAGCAATGTTGGGCTGAGCATTCACTAAGAGAGAAAAAGAGAGTTGGAGGCATTACACAGGTCCAAAATCCAAGTTTCTCCCTCAATATAATAAATGGGATCAAATATGAAACTAGAGAGATTTCAGAATATGGTGGGGCTGGTCAGAATGAAGACAAGCCACGTTTCCAAGTAATTCCAGGTTCTGAAAGCAGATGCTCTGGTAAATATTTAACGACTACCTATAGTTCTCTGTGCTCTGCTTGCTAAACCCCATTCTCCAAAAAACCCCCCCGAGGTTCTAGCAGGGATTAAGTGTTGAAAATAAAATGAACTCACAGTAATCAGCCACGTAAAAATAGGTGGGCTCTGTCCACGAGCCGTTCCCAGCCAGGGAGGTCGCCCGGATCCGGACACTGTAGTTCCCAGGCTGAAGTCCCCGGAGTTTGCAGCCGTGCTCGGTGGCAAAGTGCTTTCGGGACACACAGAAATGGGCTTCCTGCAGGGACAGCAGCCTGTGTCACCCTCCCTCTGCAGCCTCTGGGCTTCCTGCAGCGTCCATTTGTTTGGCAAACGGACACCCCAGGGGCAGATTATTTCTTGATGTTATCCCAGACGAATTCACCAGCGAAGTTTTGTGTCCCACTGGTTCCTCCACCAGGAAACCAGCCCGGACAGGGCACTGTATGCACCAGGACTATTAAATCCTAAACAGCCCTGGGCTTTCAGGTGGAGTCACCTCTCCAGAGGTGCTGTGGAGGAGCAGAAAGTCTCACCTCTGTCTCCCCGAGCCGTCCGTAGTTCACCTCGTACAGCACGATCAGGCCGTTGGGCTCCTTCGGCTCCTGCCACCTCAAATGCACCGTGTTCTTTTCAACCACTTCATGGGAAACTGGGCCAACGATGTCATCAGCCTTAGCTGGAACCAAGTTCACGATGGATAAGTTTTATTTCTCACCCTGGGCAAAATTCAAACCAGCCGACGCCTCACCCGTCCCCCTTTCCCATCAGGACCCAAGGACAGCCCCTGTCCTGTGCCATTTCTCTCTGTGGCTCCCACGGGAAAAGCAGCATTTTGGGAACAGCCACCAACCCAAAGCAGGGCTCAGGGAGGTCCTTACCTTCTGGCATGGTCCTGGCACTGACATAGGCTGCCACGCTGCAGCGGGACTCCTGAGCGTCGTGGTTGCAGGCGTGGAGCTCGATGCGGTAGCCGGTGAAGTGGCGCAGCCCCGAGATCACCAGGGACTCCTTGGACAGGACCTTCTCAAAAGGTTTCTGCTCCTCTGCCCCCTCAGCTGCTGCTGCAGAGTTGTTGGGAGAGGCTGGGATGGTGGGGATTACCACGGTGGCGTTGGCCACAGAGGCCAGGTCTCTGCGTTTTCTCGACGGCCTGTTAAAACAGCACAGCTCACCATGTGACCTGTTCCACTCACTGTGAGCACACCCACCTGAAATGCAAGAGTTCAAATGACAGAGCTCAGGGTGCCACTGAAAACTCAGATTAAAGCCTCGTTATTTGCAACAAAGGAATTCAGGATTTTTTTTTTTTTTTTTTTTTTTAACCGAGCAGTCTGTCTTTTTTGAACCTCTATATCCATGAGGCTCTCTCCCTGCAGGGCCATAAAATAAAAATAAATCAATCCAAGTCTCAAGCATTTGCTTGAGAATTCCAGTTCATCTGGATCTCTCAGCTGGATCTAACTTTGCCAGGGTTGCAATGCTTTGGAGTTCAGCTCCCACACGTTTTAGCTTTGAGCAAATGAGGTCACACCACAGCCCCTGACTCTGATGACCTTAAATGTGCCACATGTCCCAAGTGTCACTACTTGCATTTAGAAAGCGTAAGGCCACTTTCACAGCTCCCTGGAATACATTTGAACCCCATGGCTGAACCTCAATGGATACATGAATCAGTTTTAGCTTTACCTAAGAGACCAAATCTATCAAGTCCTTTCCAACAGAAGCATTTAAAACTCGTGGCTTTGATTACAAATTAGCCCTGTGGTTTTGTTAACCAAATGCTGCTTCTCAAATTATTGCATTTCAACCTGAAAA